GGTGATCTACATGGCAGCTGACCTGCCTACTGCTTCCCTGAGCAGTGTACTTTGTCAGTCAGCCTGTTCTGCTACCCACTCTTTCTCTGGTGAATCTTCTCACTGCCCCTGCAACTCTGGACTGTACCCCAGTTCTGTATGCATAAATAAATAAATCTTTTTAAAAAAATAAGAGGTAGAGTGAAAAGTATGAACACTCAATGAAACCACTGAAAAGCAAACTGTACACTGTAAAACAGTATCTCTTCATAATGGATGCATTTAGCATTAAATTTGGAATTAGTGGTAGATGGAAAATAAAGTTTGAAAAATAGATTGGTGTTTCAACTAATTACATATTACAGAATTTGTCCAAAGTTGTATAAAGCTGCTTTTCAGTTGAACACCAAACAGGTATTTCTCCTGACAGTGAATCTTAGAATTATATAGTTCTATCTTGAAAAACAAAATTTTACATTCAAACCTCAATAAAATCACAACTACTGCTAGACCTGACGGTCCCTTAGTAAACAACAGAACATATCACATCTCATAATACACTTAAGAGAATCTGCAAATGAGATTAATAAACACAAACCACCAGTACTGAAAATACTTTCAGATGACAGGGAAAAATCAAGGTCATATTTAATTTCATTGTTTTAATTATTAGGAAACTTACTTACCAAAAAATATACATAATTGGGAATCACTAAAAAGCTATTAAAGTTGCAAAAGTAGAAAAAGTAGGAAAAGCAGAAAATTAAAACTACAAATATAAAAATTGAGTACATTTGTATTCCCACATGCACTGCAACATTGCTTTGTTCTCTCGCCAGTCTCATGTCAAAGGTCACTGAGAGCAGAGCAGTCTATTAATCTATCTGTGAGGTAGATAGAAGGACAAAGTGAGGAGGTTAGGAACTATTTTCAGGTCTACAAAAATTAGCATTACTGAGAGTAGGCTATATAAGAATAGAATAAAAAGTAAATTCAAGAGGAAGCTCAATTTATAAATTTATATTACTGAGGCCAAAACATGCTACATGTTTACAGAATGAACAAATTGAATGAAGAACAGAAAGACAAAAATGAACTTTCTATGAGAGTTTATATCTTAAATCTGTGAATTACAAGAATATATATGCATTTGTCAATACTCATTTAATTCTACATAAATTCTGTAAATTTATTGTATATAAATTATATCTCAGTTCAAAAGTTCCCTAGAATTAAAAGTCATTATTATTAAAATAAGAAATTACCATTTAGAGCCAGCTAGCCAACCAGAACAAACTAGATGTAATACTTTCTTGCAATACTAAAAATACTATCTCTTCCATAATTTCAAAATTAGCAAACAGATATAATGCTACTAAAAAAAACACTTCATCTTTTCAAGCATTTCAACCAAAATCCAGAGGGAAAGTGTGTAATAGTAGCTGCCACATGTCTAAAATAAGGAACAAGGGCAATCTCTTTTAAGGAGGTGGGATTTAGGGCTTTTTGAAGCTGCAAGTATATCACACTACATAAAAGTGTGAAGAAACATGGAACATACTAGCAGAAAGAAGAATAGAAAGGCAAAATAAGTTCCTTCGCGTTGCATTCAAGTGAGCTCATATATTTTAAAATCTATCAGCACAGCTAGGGCTCATTTTAACATCTCCTTGAGTACTGATTCCTAAATCTGAGATGGTATGGGTGTATTAAAATCACCTACAGCATTTTTCTCTAAACCATAGAACACTTGATCCCTTTTCCTTTCCTAAGCTTTATGTTTTCTTAAGAACCCCACAATTCCCTTCAGTAGAAAACTACTACCCCCCCCAAAAAAAACAAAAAACAAAAACAAAAAACACTTCACTAATAACAGCCAAAGACATCCCTTTAGAATTGGTAGCTGAAAATGATCAACTGTTAAACACTAACCTAACAGGAAGCTTTATCTTATTTTTTGAATTGTACTATTTTTCATTGATGTAACACTGGACTATAACATTGTATGATTTAAGGATCCCTACCACTTGAGATGTTTGCTGCCACACTACACCTACCATCACAGCACCCATGATCCTTCACTATAGTTCTCTGGGCTTCCTCCCCACACTTTACTTTCTACCCTTCACTCTCTCCGGTAGTGTCAATTCTATAGTCAGACTTTAGGGTTTGTTTTCATGTAGTCATATCTGTTCCTTTGTTTCGTGTCTCTATATCACACAGATAGGTGAACATATCCAAGGTCTTTCTTCTTCTGACTTATTTCACTTAGCTTAATCCTCACCAATTCCATCCATGTTGTGGTTGTAGCATATGTCAAGATTTCAACTATTTCATTTTTTAATGCTTGAATAGTACATCTGATCTACCACATCTTTAGCTATCCATCTTTCATTTAACAGTTAGGTTATACCATAGCTTGGGTATTGTAAATAGTTATACAGTGAGCATAGGCTAGCACACAGCCCTTCAAACGAGTGCTTCTTCTACTTTTTGGGTAGATACCTGAGTGGGATTGTTGGATCACATGGTATGTCTGTTTTTAATATTTTAATATTTAATACTATTATTTTGTATAGGGTCTTTATCAGCCAACATTCCCACTAATAATGTACAGAGTTGCATTTTCTCTACATTCTTGCCAACACATTTTTTTCTGATCTTTCTGATGTGAACAACTATATGAGTTCTTTAGAGATCTTGGATAGTAAACTCTTAGAGTGCATGATATGCACATATTTTCTATCATTCAGAGTGTTGGGGACCGAGGCCGGCATCTGGCGTCTGTCAGCAGTCATAAAAAGGTGAAATGGAGTCCGGATAGAGAAAAACATCCGGGTTGTAAAAGGCATGTGGGAAAAACTCCCTGCCCCCACCTTTTCCTTCTCCTCTTTCTTTTCTCGCCCACTTTCGCCCCTCGCGAGACCAACTGCCGTCAAAACATTGCTGCATGTCTATTGTCCATTGGCTTTCTCCCTTCCCGACTTCTGCATCCCCCACCTCTTGTATTTTATATAAACTAGATAAAAAACAAAATAAAGAATTCTCTCTCTCTCTCTTTGTTCTGCTACACGCGTGTGACTGTTTCTTTTGTTCGCCGGACCTGGGGCCCCAACTCCCTGGCCTTGCAAGGCCCCCCGCACAGAGGTAGGCTTTTCATTTTAATAATAGTTTCTATTGCTGTGCACAGCTTTAAATTTGATATAGTCTCATTTGCTTCTTTTTGATTTTGTTGCCCTTGCTGCTGGAGCTGAATAACCAAAGACATCACTGACTTTTTTCTAATTTCTTTTCAAATAGGAATATGTTCTTCACTAGTAAATCTTTAAACTCTGCTAGTATTAAATATGTGCTAGGTACAATGATCAAAATACAGCCAATAAGGACAGTAAATTGTCCAAGAGAAAGGGCATTTGGGCTGTCTCCATAGCTTACCTACTGTAAATCAATTTCCCATTTTTATTGTGTGGTTCTACATACCTAGCATAACTACTATACTATGTTCAATGTTGGTGACCCTACACATTTCCAAAAGGCTTTGTGTATATAATTAAGGTTAAGACATTGAGATAAGACTGTTTGAATTAGAGTGGGTATGAAATGCAAGGAATAGCATTCATAGAAGAAAATAAGGGAAAAGACTTATGAAAATCTAAATGTACAGGAGGCAGAGACTGGAGTGTGTATGGGTCAAGAATGTCAAGAATTGGTAGCAATCTAGAGAAACTAGGAGACAGATATGAAAAAAAGTACTCTTGGAAAATCCTGAAAAAAATTAACCCTGCCAACACCTTGAATCAGGACTTCTGACCTCCAGAACTGTTATGTTAAATTGGTCAAGCTTGTGGCAATTTGATATAGCAGTCCTGGGAAACTAATAAAGCCTCTTATTTTAAATCAATGTCCATTCTTCAGTTAATATTTCACTATTTCATCTGTTTTCCACCAAATTTCCTCTGAAATGTCCCATTAATATTTGATCATCAGTTACCTTACTTTTTAAAAGCATGATTAACGTTGCTTTACTAAATATATTATATCCATCAATACAAATCTAGCTATAATTCTAATATGGATTATTCTTATTCTATTCTATTGTAAGATCCTTGAAGTCAGAAATGACATCTTAAGTGTAACTGTTGTCATTTCTCTCACCTAATATAAAGCTATATACAATGCATGATTTAGTAACTTCCTTTTTGATGAAATAAGACTATCTAAAAACTTTGTTATCAGGTAAACCATTTTAGAATATGAGTGGCATCATTTAGAAACATACATATTTCCCTGCCATTAAAAGCTGAAGGCTAATCTTACCCACATACTTGTTTCCTATTGTTTTACAAAATACTTACTGTTAATGGACTTAAAATCTAACAATACTCAGAATACATGCAGAATCACAGCAGTTAGAAGGGGCACCATGAAACAAGGCATCAGCAAAAAAGTAAATGCTTTATAGGATGAATTATGTTTACAAAAAAAAGTTCATTACATAATACATTTTTAACAAGTTTTACAATTACATAAGGAAAAATGGCATTAAACAAAATATCTAAGTTTAAACATACCTGTGTTCGCAAAATTTCACTTTTTGACAATTGCATATCTCCAGTCAGTTCTTTCACAACGATGCCCAATGGTTCTAGACGTTTGCTGAAATAATTTGTCATTTCAGCTGCCAAGGCTTTCATTGGAGCAACATATACAATCTGCACCAAAGAAACACTAGCTTGATGAATGGCAAAAACTACAATGTCATTTGTTCTATAGTAGACAATACAACTTATTGTGAAATATGATTCCAGCCACTTCAAGTGAAAAATCTTAATAGTGATATATGAAAAGTACTTATCTTCATTGGAAAAGTGTACAGCTGTTTAAAGAACAATGAAATTTGTTTATACCACCCCATCACTTTGAAAATTGGTTCTGCTTCAAAGCTAAATGCATTTTCATAGCTTTCTATGGGAACAATGGGGTTTTCATAACACAAATAGGGTTTGCCTTACTAGCAATGAAGTAAATCAAGCAGCATTTCTTACATGCCTTCATGTACACTCTTTATAAGCTTCCAGATTTCATAAACATTTATAACTGCAAAATAATTTTAATTGCACATATAAAAAGCTGTTGTCTGTTTTGTTAATTTCCTACCTTAAATTCATTCTTTTTGATAACACCTTGCTCAAAGTGTTGGCGGACTTCATGCAAAATTGTAAGCATTGCAATGTTGGTCTTTCCAGCTCCAGTAGGGGCACAGATAAGCATGTTCTCGTTGGTGTTGTAGGCAGTTTCAAACACAATCGACTGGATTCTATTGAGTCTCTTCATTCCTTTAAAAGCCAGCTGTCCAATCTAAAAAGAGATGTGACTCATAATAACAAAAATTTGAAAGACCCACATAAAAGATTAATTCAAATATTTACTATTTTTGGTTAAAAAAAATAGTAACTTGTTTATAGACCCTCAAAGTACCCTAATTTTAAACTGACATACATGCAATTAAGAACTCAGAGATCTTGCACAAATCATGTTAGAACTGCTTACTAAATTTGAAATTATGAGACTGTATTGTATTTTTGTGCACAATCCTAAAAATGATAAATTAATAATATAAGACAAAATAGGTTTCTTTTGAATTAATATGGTAATCTAGTTTACTCAGATTGGAGATGCCCAATTAAAGTGCAAAAATAGAAATTTCTTTGAATATAAGTCAGTTTTCGGGATGTTACAGATTTTTAAAAACCTACTTTTGGAATAGGCAGCCATAATAGTAGCCATTGTGTTAGTATGGCTAACAGTAGCCATTAAAGATTGTATTATTCAGTCTTAAACTTCATAGAACATACACAATTGCAAACACCTTGTTATAGCAATAGTTCCTTATTTCATCTTTAAAACAATCTTATAGAATAGGTACCACTGCTATGTCCTTGTAATAGAGAAGAAAATTAAGACAGAATGGTTGAATAAACTGTTCCTATATATAAAAAAAAAAGGCTAGAAATTAAAACCACAATGTCTAAGAGTAGATAAAACACTGGGTAGGTATAATCACAGGAAACTGCAATAGCGATACTGATATCTTTAACAAATAGATTTCCAAGCCAAGAATATTACTTTGGATAAAGGTTATCATTTTATAATGATGAAAAGGTCAACTGGACAATAAGAAATAACAGTCCTAATAGTTTTTATACCTAATAATGAATCTTCAAAATATACTAACCAAAAATTGATGGCATCCAAAGGGAATCAGGCAAGTCTACAATTATACTCAGACATTTCAATATCCCTCTCCTTGTGACTAGAACAAAATAGTATGAAAAACAACAAGGCTACAATAGACTTGAACAACACTATCTTCCCATTTGATCTAACTAACATTTTATTTAAAAATAAAAGAAAATCCATTTTCTTCAATTGCTTGTGGAACATTTAAGATACACTATATTCTGGGTCATTAAATAAATATAAGTAAGATAAAAACAGCATAATTCATTCAAAGTATGTTCTCTGATCACAATGAAATTAAATTAGAAATCTTTAATTGAAATAGCTTAAAAATATGAAAATATTTGGAATTAGCAACATGCTTCTAAATAAACATGGATGAAAGAAGCCAAAGGGAAATTAATAATTTAAATTTTTTTAACTGATGGAAAACAAATGCTCAATATGTTGGTTGTGGGTTCAGCAAGCAATACTCAGGGTTAACTGTATAGTATCAATCACCTTTACAATAAAAGGAGGATTCCAAATGAGTAAAAGTCTCTTCCAAAATAAAAGTATCAGAAAAAGGAACAATTTAAACAAAAATAAACAGAATAACAGTACAATAAAGATCAAAGTTGGTATTAATGAACGGAACACTGAAAAGCATACCTTTTGAAATGATCAATAAAACTAATCTCTAGCCATATTAATCAGGAAAAAAAAATAGAGAAGACACAATTGCCACTGTGAAGAATGAGAATAGTGGCATTCCTACAGAAGCTATAGATCTTAAAAGTATAACAAGGGAATATTATAAATAATGTTATGCCAATAAATTTGACCACTGAAAAGATTCAAATTATGAAAGTTCACCCAAGAAGGAAAAAATGCAACTTAACCTTATGTCTGTTAAATACATTAGAGGTGAGATTAAAATCATTCCCACAGAACCCTCCCTGGTGGCGCAGCGGGTTGAGGCACAGCACTGAGAAGCTGGAGCCACTTCCGCATGAGTTTGATCTCCATGAGTTTGATCTCCGCCCATGGCATGGCAGCCCTCTCCTGGCCCGCCGGCTACTCCCCTCAGCAGTGTGCTTCGTCGATCTGCCTGTTATGCTCCCCATTTTGTCTCTGGTGAATCCTCTCACCCTCCACATCTCTGGCTTATACCCCAGTTCTGTATGAATAAATAACCTTTTTTTTTTTTTAAAAAAAAACCATTCCCGCAAAGAAAACTTCAGACCCATGTAGGTTCCTTGGTAAATTTTACCTAACAGTTAAGGAGGAATTACTACACTTCTACGTTAAGTCTCCTTAAAGGGGAAGGTGCCCTTCTTTGCTCCTAGGTTAGAGATATGGCTTACAATGGTAAGGGGAACTGAAGAAAGCAGTCTCAAGACAGAACTTTAAAAGACAAATTTTTGGCTGCACAACTTAAAGAAGTTCCACTTTGATAAAACATTTTGTGCAACTGGGTCTCTACAACACAACCACAACAATTCATCAAGTGAATCTTCAAGTGAATTGTTGTTCATTACTCTGAAACACTTTCACTGACAGGCAGTGCCAATAGTCATATTCACAGCACACAAGAATATACCTGGCATGTCTTAACCTCAGTTAAAGGTTTGATATGTCTGGGTCTGGTTTTTTTGTCTCTAGACAGAACCACCATGGTTAAGTAAGTTTCATAAAACTAGTATTACATTTAAGTGTATAACCTTCAGAGGTTTAAAGCTACAGTAAAATTGGAGGTTCAGGATTTGGCATTTTTTATAAATTTAATATATTATTTTCATAGGGTGATGAACCCATCCTAAAATGTGTAGATTAACATGTGTAGTTTAAAAATGAAAAATGCCATAATTTGTGTTTTTGAAGCAAACTGTTGCGTCTCCCTTACAAACAGCTACACTTTTTTTTTTTTTAAGATTTATTTATTTGTGCATACAGAACTGGGGTACAGGCCAGAGACTCGGGGTGGCGAAAGACTTCACCAGAGACAGAGTGGGGAGCAGAACAGGCAGATCAACGAAGTACACTGCTGAGGGTGCAGCGGGCGGGTCAGGAGAGGTCTGCCACACCATGTGGTTACCTCCGGGGCAGGTGGGAATCGAACTCATGCGGAAGTGGTTTCAGCTTCTTAGTGCAGTGCTTTAACCCACTGCGCCACCAGGGAGGGCCAAACAGCTACACTTTTAATCACAGCAATAAAATAAAGGAGTGTCTTAAGTTCTGTTTAATCCTACAAAGAAAATGTCATTTTCAGTTTCTTGACTGATAAGTATGGTTAATAACGGTTTGAGTACTGAGTTGAAATGTTAGATAACTTCCACAAGTTTGCTTGAAATCTTTAAGAGGGTAAGGTAAATCCACACTTGCATGACCAAGTTCACAAAATGTTACAGAGAGCAATTTTTTTTTTTTTTTTTTTTCACTGAAGATCTGGGAAATAGACCAGCGGTGCAGTGGGTGAGAAGATGTACCAGAGACAAAGTGGGGAGCTGAGCAGGCAGATCTGCTAAAATACACTGCTAAGGAGAGCAATAGGTTAGACAAGAGAGGTATGCTGCATCATGTGTATTAGCTCCCTGGATGGGAATCAAACTAAGGCTGTAGCCTTGATAGCACTGAGACTTAACCCTAAATTAACAAGGAGGTTCCTTCTTAATGTTTTTTATAGTTTATGACATTAAAGTTTCCAAAAATAATTAAATAAAACAAGGATGTCATTTTGTTAACTACACCTCCTTAAACATGGAAACTTCATCATTAGTAGAATCCTCAACTGTACTATTTGAGAAGATATTTTTACTTACATATAACCTAACAATATTTCAATAATTTATTATAAGTTCAAGTTAAGAAATCATAGGAAAAACATGTTACATAAATGAAAGTATTAATGACTAAGACTGGTATGTGTTCCAATGTATAACATAACAGAACAGGAATTTAGAAATACCTATTTTAATGGTGCCTTTTAAACTTTATAGTATTTCAAACACACATTTTTTTTCCATTTTAATATAATAGTTTATTTTTACATCATTTGGTGCCTTTGTCCATCTCAGTTGTAATCCCCATGGGCTTCCCAGCACCAAATCACCCATGTGCCATCACCATAGTCCAGTGCACTCCCCCCAACCACCATTTTTTAACCCCATTCCCTATTCCACCTCAGTAAAATGTCTCTAGTATATAGTTGTTCATTATTTTTATTTTCAACCCCTGGTCCTTTATACTCCTGCTATGAGTGAAACCATCCAATATTTTTCTTTTTCTTTCTGGCTTATTTCATTAAACATGATCCTTTCTAGCTCCATCCATGTTGCTGAAAAATGCATAGTCTATCTTTTTGATTGCTGAGTAATATTCCATTATATATAAGCACCACATCTTTTTAATCTGATCATCTACTTTTTGGCATTTGTGTTGATTCCATGTAATTCTGATTGTAAATAAAGTAGCAATAAACATGGGGATGCAAATGTCTTTTAGAATCAGTGTTTTTGTATCTTTTGTGTAGATACCGAGGCGTGGGATTGCTGGGTCATATGGAAGCTCCATTTTTAGCAGTTTGAGAAACTTCTAAACAGCTTTCCATAGTAGTTGTGCCAGTTTGCATTCCCACCAGCAGTGCTGGAGAGTTCCCTTTTCTCCATATCCTCGCCAGTATTTGTTGTTGTTAGTTGTTAAGCACATACTTTAACAGCATTAAATCATTTCCATTAAATAGGTAAATGCTGTAGCAGTTGTATATTTATGAGGGAAACAAGCATTAAACTGGATTTATAAATTGTTTCCTTACATTTAAATTTACAGTTTCTATTTCCACAGGAAGGCAAAATAAAAGATTTATTCAGAAGCATGGTAGAGACTAGAAATTTCTAGGACTTAGGAAAGATATTACAGGAAGGCCTAGAGAAAAGTTTACCTTGAAACAAATATAATTAGATTGACTGCAGATTTCTCAAAAATAAAAAGAAAAGCAGATGATATAAAAATGTTTAGTGTGCTAAGATAGAATGTGATATAATAATATATTTAATGTGCTAAGAGATCACTACTGTCAACTTAGAATTCTACTACCAGCAAAAATACCTTTCAAGAATAATGGTAAAAGAAAGGCATTATAGGTTCACTTAAATTAAAAGTTTTTGTCACTACCCAATTCTCACTTTAGAAAATTTAGGCAGTAAAATGTCATAGAACATGAAGCACTTGGATGAACTAAAAAGCAAAATATAAAGAAAAATCTAGATATCTACTAACCATAAAGTAAAGTAACCATAATATTACCTAATTTAAAAGCTAAAACTATAGGGAACTAAAATACTTGAGGAACCTTATCAAATAAATTAGGAAATTAGTGACGTATTTAAAAGGTGGCATTCTATACTTATAAAATACTAACAGTAACATAGACCAATGTTACCTTGAGTAAATAAAAGTTTTAACACCTACTTTTGTAATATTTTTAAGTACACTCAATGCTCAAACAAGACCAAACAAAAAAAGAACAAGGTATCTGACTTGGGAGTCTATAAAATTTTAATGGTCAATTCTGTTCTTTTGACAATAATCTTGGCATTATTGACTTTCTGGCGGTTTCTTGTTTTGAGAGACTGTCATGTATACTGTAGAATATTCAACAGCAACCTGGTTTTCTAGGGAACTTAAGAAAGTAAAAGAGAAGGAGAATGAGATAAGGAAGAATGGTAAGAGAAAAGAAGGGAAAAAAAAAAAACAAGAAAAGAAACAGGGATATAGGGGTTAAATTAGAGGAAAAAAATCTCATGTCATTATTTGAAACTATACATCCAGCTGGACACATTCTTGAATGTTTTAGTTTAAAACAAACAAATTGTCTTCTTTGTTAAGCTGTTTTGACTTTGTATTCCCTACTTCCAACTGAATGAGTCCTGACTAATACTGAAATCTATTTTTTTAGATTATTGTCTTTCAAAGAAAATGTATAAACCCATTTAGTAGCTTTAACAGCATTTTTGCCATTTAAATTTTTTTAGATTCTGCTTCATTTTGCAATCGAATTACTAACGTGCTTTAAGAAGAAAATAAAATTTATCTGAAAATTTATTTTATGAAGAGGGCATAAAAATATTTTATGGAGGGTTCTGTAGGACTACTAGGGAAAGAAACAATTACCCTCAAGTGTATTTTCCCTGATACATATAGACTGGTATAAAGAATATGCAAGTCAATAGAAGCAACTATTAAACTAACATCAACATCTATATTTTTTCTAGAGGTCTATATGACTGCTTACTCTTCTTCATTATGTAAAGAAATTATATCAGTAAGTTTACTTATACTGCCACATTGCATTTGATGGTATTATTTCCTAATTATTGTTACTTACGCTATTGAAAATTAGCACCACAAAGAGAAATCTCTACATACTACCAGGCTGGTTTGACAGTAGTATATAATATATAAAATTAAAATGGCTGGGATAAAAATGAAAAATAATGACAACATGAGATGTTGGCACATATGTGGGAAAACTATCACACTGAACTGGTGGTCAGAATATAAGGTACTTTAGAAAAAAAATACGGTAGTTTCTTAGAAAAGTAAACATGAAACTACACTATGACCCAGAAAATGTAATCTTGGCCATTTATCTGAGAAAAATAAAAACTCTCAATACCCAAATTCACAAATTAAAAAGTCCTAACACCCATATGATTGCACTAGGAGACAAGACCTTTGGAGAATTACTTAAGACTAAATGAGATCAATATTGGTAGAACCATGTATTATGAGCTTGGTTTCCTTAAAAGAAAAGGAAGAGACACAGAGGTTTCTCTGTGAAAAGCAGATGAAGTCACCAGGACACAGTGAGAAAGTGGCTGTCTGCCAGGTAGGAAGGAGGCTTCACTAGAAAACCAAATCTGTTGGCACCTTAATTTAGGACTTTTAGTTTAACTTTTAACCATAAGAAATTGTTTCAAAGTAATAAAAGCAAAGAAGTATGAAAGTACATGTCCACATACCCACAAATACTGATGTTATAAATCTACATTTTATAAAACAAAACCCACATAATGTATAGAAATGAATTAATTTTGGTTTTTGCTGTTCTTTTTGTTTGTCTGTTTTATTTGCTATATCTGAATGATGAAGTATGACTCAAATACATATAAATAAAACAATTTCATTTTGGAAATGGAAAAGATTAACTTTATAATATGCAACTTTAAATAAAGAAGTATTTTGAGATAAAGCAGATTTTAACAAATGCTGAGTGGAGACAAAGGGGATATGGATACTATTATCCATGCAATTTTTCCATAGCTTTGAAAGTTATTCAAAGTTTAAAAGTTGAGAGTAAATAGTTTAGAGTTTGATCCTCACCCCAAATAATATTCTATTTTCTAATATGCTGACCATTTGCTATATCAACACATCAATTTCTTAAAAACATTTTTT